CCACTATCGACGATAAATAAATTGTTATCAGCATCAAGCATAATACTTGTTGGTTTATCAAGAGCAAAGCGTGCTCCTAATGCTCGCCCTGCTACTGTTATGCCTTTCGATTCGCCATGATGAAATAGTTGAATTCTATCATTTCCTGTATCTGCCACATACAAATCATAAGTATCATTGACATATATTCCAAAAGGTTGATCAAGCATATTTTCTGTTGAACCAGCACAACCCATACCTGCAACATTCGACCATGTACTATCATTACTATCAAGTGATATTTTAACAATTTGATGACCATCGCGAATAGAACAATAAAGAGTGTTATCAACATGAATAAAAAGGCTACTACATCCTCTATTGATATACATTGTAGTGTTAGTGGATGTTTTATCTAAGGACCATTTACTGATATGACTACTATTTCCATTATCGATATATATGTCGCCAGTAAGTGTAACGAAGAAGCCAGTTGAAAAGTTAAAACTACTATAAATTGTTTTTGTTGGATTTTCACTTTTTTCAGGCCATATATGAATAGTTTTCGTTGTTTGATCAGCTACATAGAGAGTATTATTAATACTAATGAATGAAGTAAAAGGACTTAAATCTGTAGTATTGCTGTTGGCAACTATAATCCCACTTGAGTACCACGATGCACATTCACTAAGTTTTGGTTTATTGACAGATAAAGCTATGAGACGAAACAGATACATAAAATATGATACTTCGAAGAAAATATTTTTTTTGAGAAATTGTTTTTTCTTCACTTTAGAATTGAAGCCAGAATGTAGCTTCACGAATAGATGAATCGATACACACTAAATTTTCATTCCGTTTGAAAACTGTTGCAATCGCATGTATGTCGTTAGTAGTCCGCGATCATATAAATAAAGCAATGCTATCTTTAGTCTGTTGCTATCTCATTAAGTGAAACTTCTTGATATGACGGCATTATGCGTTCGAGTGGATTTTCAAGGGTGAAATTTATCTTTCGAAAAAAAAAAGTTTAATCGTAGTAGCGGTAATAATCAGTAATAAAGAGTACAGATCCATATTTCGTTTATGAAGATTTTATAATTGAAAAATCTCATCCTACTATGTTCTGTACGCATGTTTTGTTCGATTAGAATACGATAGAACAACATGATTTGTCGTTGAAATTCTTCTTATAATTAAGTAAAACAAATGCTCAAAATTTTGGTTGAAAATATAGAGAGATTTGAATGTGGAGGATCATCATTTGCTGAAGCCATACAGCAAATATATTTAAACCCTGCAGACTACG